CTAGTGCACGTTTACCCCATGAGATTTGATTTCACTGTACTGAGGAAGGATCCATACAAGAAGGGCGTCCTCAAGTACTACTGCGAGATTAAGGTCAAGGGTCACAAGAAGAGCCTTTGCGGAAATTTGTGTAATAATGCATGTACTTGTCGTGTTTACACATCCACGCATGCAGTGCCCAGGAAGACTAACAGGGTCTCCGTGACTAACGAGTGGGCTGGCGAGGATGAGGCAGATCACATAGATTTGCAGATGGACTTAATGGAGGGGACCCTGTCCCAGAATGCAAGCTACTTGTTTCGAAAACGAGTCACCTTGCGATATGCTGTAGTGCAGCTCGATCGATCGGGCCGCACGTCTGCTGTCCTAAGGTGAACGACCGCAGTCTTATGATGACAGATCAGATGGAGTCATGGCAATGCCAACCACAAACGAGGAGTTATCCCGAGTGCTGAAGCGGCTGGGGTACCCTGATGTTCAAGAGGCAACCAAGCCATCCGATCTACTTCCCAAGGCAATCACTGCTGCTAGCAAAAGGCTGAAGAAGCTCGAGGAGCTCATGCCTGGCTCTGGTTCAGAGCCTCCTCCCCCTCCAAATGAGACTCCCGAGTCAGGGCAGATGGAATCATTGCAGACAAGGAAGCTCGGCTGCAATCACGCTGAAATCAAGTCTCGCCCCAACCCTCAAGCAAAACCCCAGATACGCACACCATAACCCCTAAGTAAGGTTTCGAACCGAACCAGCATTCTTTAACACTAATAGAGTGAACCGGGAAACCAATTGTATAATAATCCTAGCCCCCCCAACGTAGGTAAAAATAATACATTTAATCGCATCTCAATCCCATTACATACAATCCTTGCATGACAACGAAGGCTTGGGGTCCCTGTGCTTACTTCCCAACCTACTCTTAAATTGTAAGCCCTGGACTTGCAATATCAGGATGCATCGGAAGCTGATGACCGTTCATCGAAGCCTGGACGAATGCTTGGATGAGCTTTCCAAGTTCCAGGGTGATGGTATGGTCGATGGTTTCACGGAGCAGCTGCTTGGCTCTGCTATGAATGTGCAGCATAATATCTGCTGTATAATCATGAAGCACCGCTTGCAGGATGGAGGCATCTCTTGATGTGGCTCTGAATACCTGCCGAAAGCTGATACTGGCCTGCATTATTGATGTTTAGTTACTGCAGTCGATGTTTGCGCTTGCATCCTCTGATTTGCCGGCTATACTTCATCACATTGCCTGAGGGTGATTGAAGCTGCTGAGATTGAAACCCGTGCCAGGACAGTGTCGCAGTGTTGTTGCATGAAATTGTAGCTTCTCCGGACCAAATAGATTCTGCAGGACACTCATCAAGAAGGAGATTTTGGACGATGGGAGCGAAGCAAAGAACGCCAAGCACCGTCGAGTGAAACTAGGAGGGAAGCCGCCTTCCCCAGTCCCCCCAAAGGCAAGCCCGAAGCGCGCAACGCCTTCAAAGCCAACAGTGAAGCCACCGCCCCCCAAGCGTGCTAAGAAGTAGCTGTAGCTTTGTAGGCAGGTCGTTACGGCTCATATACCACGCTATACTTAATGGGTCATGGTTGCGGTGGTGGATCAGTCTTTTCACTGTGCTTGTGTGGCAACCCTATAGGACGATGGATGTCTGCATCGCATGAAAAAGAGACTGCCAGTGCAGCTACTTCGAATCGTATGTTGCGCATATCTGAAGCTATTACGATTGCTGCACAACCTGAGCAACCTCCCTTTTACGGCCAGGTACGGACAACCCTCCAGCTCCCAGTCATACGCTGTCAGCGCTGGCAGAGAGGGTGGCTGATGGAGTTTGGGACTTAGTCTCGTTAATTGCATTGACCGAGATTCCTATAAAACTTTGATATGCCGGGCCCTAGCTCTAACCGAACGTTCAATCCAAATCGCACTTTGGAGACCCCAGAACCCTCGATTAATATAACCCCCAAACCGCCCAAACCCGCACTACATTTTCTAAATCCAGATACACTTGCCCATCAACCGCTCACTCCCGGTCCCTTGAGCCCGAGAGTCGATCTGTATAAATCACACCCAGGCTCCAGCCAGCATCATCGGGGAGGTTGGCGGCGCAGTTCTGAAGGACGGCATTAATTCGAAAGGCGGCCTCAGAGAAGCCAGCAAAGTGGATCGAAACCACAGCGAGAGGAATGCTCATCGTTTATTCAACAAGTATGGGCTGGCTCTCAGGGTCCCGATTAGTTTCCTGGAGGTCCTACCTGATGAGGGTCAGGAAGGCGATGCTGTTACAGTCCCGTACTTGTCAATGAAACAGTTCATGCAGCACTTACTCAACGAACACGAACATCTAATGTTCGGGGGCCTATCAGCAGCTACATCTGGAGACCTCCTTAGCACTTTCTGGAAACGCTTTCGGGGCCACCACAGGGATCACCGAATTTATTCGGACTTGACTTATGAGGAGAGATCTCGAGCCATCCCGGTGATGCTTCATGGGGACAAGGGTAGGACGCTGCAAAAAGCGCCCATATTCGTTCTCAGTTTCCAGTTTCCTTTCGGACTGCCTCCAAGCATGTTGCAGAAGTGCCACTTCGATGATAACCGAAACACAAGGCATGTTTCGGGGAACCTTGCTCAGCCTTGCAGCTGTCGTGGCAAGAAGCGATGCTTTCGAGAAGTAGACTTTTCCGAATGTACCCGCAATGACCCGCAGAAATTCTTTGATGCTTCGAACCCCAATAGCCATCAGAGGCACAATTGCAAAGGTCACAGTTACTTGAGTCGCTTCTTGATCTGTGCTGTTCCCTCGAAGACTTTCAAGAAGAACCCCAATGTGCTTCCCAACCTACTCAAACAAGCTTCTCAAGAACTTACAGAACTCTTCAAGTCGGGTCTGCAAAAGCACAGCGGGGAGACGTTCCGGTTTGTGATGATCGGGGCCAAGGGGGATGCCGAATGGCATTTTGAAGCTGGAAATTTCGACAGGTCGTACCATCGAGTCGGGCCAAAAAACCACCTCAAGATTTGTCCCTTATGCGATGCGGGTGACGAGAACATCCCGTACACGGACGTTTCCAGCTCCCCAGTCTGGCTTCCGACCGTAGGCGCATCCGCTCCATGGCCGGCTGACAATGAACCTCCCTTATACCCGACTCCATTTTCGCGAAGCTTCCCAGCGAACATGTACAAGTTTGACCCGTTCCACGTGCTCAAATTTGGTGTCTTCAGAGACTGTGCAGCTAGCTGTGTGATTCGGCTTTGTCATGCAGAATACTTCGATTTCGACATGGGGGAATCCAAAGGAGTCCCTGAGCGCTTGGCTCGAGCTTTTTCGTTGTATCAGATGTGGGCTCTTGCATGCAAGAAGAACATATCCCTGAAGGGTTTCACGAGAGCCAACATGAACTACGCAGACGCATCCTGCTTTGCATGGTTCAACACCAAAGGCTCTGAAATCGTCTTGTTGTTCATGTGGCTGCAGCATCAGATTACTGTGTTCTTACAGAACCTCAAGCAGGACAGTGATCGGACTGTCTTGCAGGCCATGCTCCAGACGATCCAGGGAGGGCTTGACTATATAGGTATCATGCATTCGCATGGGCTTTGGCTTCCGACTTGTTGTGCTAAGGTTCAGCTTAATGCAGGTTTCACCTTCGTACGAGGGTATGCATGGCTGGCCGACCATTTCATGCGCCAAAAGCTTGCTGGATTCCGTCTCAGGCCAAAACTTCATTATATGATGCACCTGCTCATGCAGCTTAAAGCCGAGACAGAATCCGGAAGACCATTTGCTTTGAATGCATCCATATGGCTGTGCGAAGCGGATGAAGATTATATAGGACGGATAAGTCGCGTCAGCCGTCGTGTTCATGCACGCACCGCTTCTGTACGCACAATTCAAAGATACCTTGTCAAACTTCGTCTCATGTTAGGGAAGCTCAAGTAAAGGATACTGTACGTCCGAATATATACCCTATACAACCCCTGTAGCGAACATAACATGGCCCCATCATTTGAGATCATTTGAGCTGATCCACGACCCAAGTTTTCGCTGTGGAGCTGGAACTGGACAAAAGAGCAATGCAAGATTGCTTGAAGATGAGGCGAGAGCTACCATTGCTTGTTTCGTTCTATATGGGTACTCTAAATGACAGAAATCCGCGATTACACTTTTGGTAAACAATAGCGCTTTTCATAAATTATTGCTTTTTTAAGAGCATAAACAAACCATGCCTAAAATTAAGCGGGGGCGGGTTGTTTAGGTTAGCTTGCATTGGATTACTGAGAGTATCCAAGCCATCTCACTGGGCCTTGGCAATAAGTTCGTTTCGCGAGACTTGCCGCAGATTGTGAGCACTAGGCGTCACAGGTAGATCAGCTTCCGGACTTGTCCTAGCGAACAGCCTGTCAAGTTAATCTGTCGGATGCGGTGCGATATCGCTGCCAGAGCCACTCAGCTGCAGAACAAGCCAAAGCTAGCAGATTCGTGCCGCAGGCTGTGGGTATTATGCAGACAGATGCGCTTCCTCTAGTCATTGATGCCGACTACGTGCAGGTCCGGCGGGCAGACAGTGCACGGGGTTTGGGAACTGCGCTCGCAAACATCCAGGGCTCTTTGACTGAATGAACGTGCCGTCGTGCCTCTTCGCAAAGGATGCAGACATCGCAAAGGGTTCATGGCAGCAACAGGAGCAGCTAGAAGGGTTTGTCGATGTCTACAGGGGTCTCTGCTGATGCTCGCCCACTTCACCAGGCCTCGAAGAAGCAGAACCTTGCAAGCTGGATAGTGCTCCCCCAGCGAATTATATACACTATCGGACAACACAACTGTAGCCGCCCTGAGCTGAGGCGGATGGGCGAAGAACACTCTAGCTCAGCAGCTCAACGCCCCTAGAGTTAGAGCTTCAGGACTCTACAATCACGAGCAACAGCGCTCTTTCAGCACGGACAATCGAAAAGCAAGCAGATCGCAAGATGTGCGCATGCCTTGCATGACAAAGAGCAATGATTTCGCTTGATCGTGCTGTTGCAGCCCGCATCTCAGGCAAGTGATAAGCGAAAGCAGCGTCAATGCATATCAGTACTACGAGAAACCTTGCGAGCTTGAAGATGGTCAGCCAATTATGAAGGCGGCACTGCCATCCCCCATGAGCCAACCTCAGGCTTCTGCAAGCAACCCAGGTGCTGATTGCAGCGGTGCTGCTGCAAGCCCTTCTACGCCTTCGCAGTACTGCTGAGGCACGCATGGAAAGAGCCACGTCCCAAACAAGAATAGGCAGCCTAATGAGAAGGGGCTACGTTGCTCAACCGGTGTCGAGTGAAGCTGCCAGCTTTATGCCACAGCTTCGCAAGTGGCCTCGGCTTGCAAAGCCCACGACCAGCCAGTGCTTTGTCTTGCAAAACACTAGCAGGTCATGTTTTAAAGGCACTCTCCTGCTAGCTTTGCTATAGTGATTCCTGAGCACCATAGCTTTCCATTGAACCGTCCTGCAACTCCGGAGGTGTGGCGAAGCAATGTGACAGCCGAGCTTTCCATGGCACGCGACTCAATTTGCCAAAAGCAGAGCTCAGAGCTCTCTGGGACTTCAAAAGTGGCTCCAGGCAGCTTCCCTGCTCGAGATGGGAGGGGGCCAGGCCCGGGCCTAGGGCCGATGGGAGGGGGGAAAAACGCCGCGGCGCCTTCTTCGCTTCCTTGGCTTTGCGATGGCCGAGGCCTCGGAGTCCTCGGAGCCTTTGCTGCCCTCCGCGCTGCGAACCTTAGCCGATCGCAAGGAACTGGTCGAAGGCGCGTTCGGGATCTGAGTGCGCCTCGGCTTTCCTTAGGCTTCCTTTCAGGACAGATCGCCGAATACGACGGGATGCCCTGGTTTCAGCGTGCTCTCTTCGACACCTCGGCTTTTCAGGCAGGGCATTGCACTTGAGAAGTCAAACTGTGCCTGACCTTGCAGCGCCTTGTGCAGGCCCACGCGGATTGGCTGAAGGAGTGGAGACAGGACAGATGCCATGCTCAAATGAAGACTCAGACTAGCTTTCACATGCTGTCACAATTAAGGGAAGACAGCATGCAGCCTGCACGACAAGTTTGCGGCATGCAATTGGCAGGGCAGAGAACAGGCCGCATCTTTGACCCCTTCTGCTATTCGTAGAGAGGAGTGGGCTGCGAAGATCCGGCCCAGCTCCGGACCGCGGATCGCGGCGGAGATCCCCAAAGCACGGGAAAAGGCAGATGCGGAGGAGGACGCAGACGATGCAGACGATGCAGACGCAGGCACGAATGCAGCAGCTTGTGATCAGCGGCGTTTGCGAACCTGAGACGTCGAAGCTTTGACTTTGACTCGCATGTAAACTGCACATAATACTCGGAATCGTTCACATGCGTCTGAGTTTTCTCCAGAGCGACATAGGCCCACACAGGCTCGTGTTCACCCCTTCAGGATTGCACTTATCTAGCTTCGAACTGGCAGGCTTATCCAACTTCAAGTTGCCGGCTGTTGCCGCAGCCAAGGCATTTCCATGCGTTCTGGTATGGTTTGAATAGTTCAATCGGGGGTGCGTGCGAGGTACTGAGTAGTACGCAACATGTTTAAAGCTTCCACTTTCAAGAGTAGCTTTGCAACATGTATGTCAATGCGAGCTACTAGAATCGAGCACGACGATGACCCAGCGCCATAGCAGCAACAGCATCAGTTGGATATTTGGAAGCTCGATGGCTTGCCATGAGTATCAGGTCTCGAATGCTGCTACTGCTGCTGCCTGCTGCCGGCGTTGCCAGCTGCTACTGCTACTGCCACGACTCCCGCAGCGGCTGCTGTTGGTGGTGGCATTGGTCGTCATCGTCGTCGTGGTAGTAGTAGTAGTAGTAGTAGTAGTAGTAGTAGTAGTAGTAGTAGTAGTAGTAGTAGTAGTAGTAGTAGTAGCAGTAGCAGTAAGCACTCCGGCTCAGCTGTGTCCCAGCAGCGAGACTCATAGTTGTGGAGGTGGTAGCATCTATGCCATGGAGCAAACCTTGCGGTGGAGTCCGGCTCCGAAACGTGATGATGACATTTCTGGTGCAGCGAGCCGCGCTAGCGCTACTGTTGACGCTCGCCAGCTGGGTGCCTCTTGGCCCCAACCAAGGGCGCATGGGTCGACTGAATGCCTTTGCCCCTTGCCTGCGAACGCGTCAGTCTCTGTGCCCGCCAGCCATACCAGCACGGACTCCTGTGACGGGTGAAAGGCCACCTCTGCCTTCGTGCCACTGTCTGTGGGCACGGGGAGCTAGCTTCGTTGCACGTGCGTGTCTATCAGCAGGCAGGAGTTGGCGCAACTTTTCCTGCAGCTGGCGCAGGCAAGACGTGGATGCCACCAGCATTCCTCCTGGGCGCGCGCCGTCAGGCCGCCCCATTGAGTGCACGATCGCCGGCTGGGTGCCTCTTGGCCCCAACAAAGGGCGCATGGGTCGATTGAATGCCTTTGCCCACAACTTTTCCTGCAGCTGGCGCAAGCAAGACGTGGATGCCACCCGCATTCCTCCTTGTCGCGCGCCGTCAGGCCGCCCCATTGAGAGCACAGTGCCACACCTCCTTGTTGATAGCCGGCCCGGTCCCAAGTCCGGGGTGGGATGCCGACTGACGACTCTACTTATATTGCTACATTGTCAGGTGTCCCACAGTGTGAGGGTTCCAGCTCTCTCCGTTGGAGCTGGGGAAGGCAACTTCCTTGCCTATCCGCGACGACTTCAAGTGCCGAAGCTAAACGGAGTACAGGTGACAGATGGGAAGCAGGAACCTACTCATCAGTGGAATCGATACGTCAAGAGATTTGTTGTGCGAGCTTGCAATAGAGCTATTCGACATGGCCAAGCGCAACCCTTGTACCTGTGTACCTTTCGTTTCCTTCAGATACCCGAGGAGTGTGTAGCTGCAGATCATCGCTGCCTTGTCCCGAATGCTGACCGAAAGCCGGCGGCGGCAACCTACCCCATCCTGGGATGGGATGGCCCGCACTGGGTCCCGGCCCCACGCATGCTTCGAGATGTGGTCTGGACTCTGACGCTACGTCCCTCCAGGTCATAGTTTGTAAGTGCGAGAAAGCTGTGCTCTGGCGATGCTCTGCGGCCAGACCGCCCTTGGGTACTGAACTACACGGTTCTCAGTGTGCCCTCCAAAGGCCACTTGCAGTTCACAGGACTACAGGGTGCTGAACGTGGTCTTCAGTGTGCCCTCCTGGGGCCACTGTTCGCAGGACTACAACTTTGTACAGAGAAACACAATGATCAACGCATGACGCCGCCATAACAGATGGCTGTACCGATGTCAATAGCTTTACAACCCTTTTGATTTTTGCACCCTTTTGATCGAGCGAAGGGTGCACTGGTGCACCATTCTCTTGACAAGTTGAGTAGGTCGCAAGTTTGCAGCTATTCGTTGCGGGACTTGCCCATGTGGTTCTAGTGCTCTTGAAGCACCGGTGCAATGCACTGCCACGTACCTGACGCTAAGCTGAGCGACCGGCTGCGATTGGAATGGAATAACAGTAGCAGTAGTAGCAGTAGTAGCAGTAGTAGCAGTAGTAGCAGTAGTAGCAGTAGTAGCAGTAGTAGCAGTAGTAGCAGTAGTAGCAGTAGTAGCAGTAGTAGCAGGAGTAGCAGTAGTAGCAGTAGTAGTAGTAGCAGCAGTAGCAGTAGCAGTAGCAGCAGGGGCCAGCAGGGGTAGTAGCAGTCGTCGTCGTCGTCATCGTCGTAGTCGTTGTCGTCGCAGCAACAGCAGCAGCAGCGGAGTTGGAGTATGAGCAAGAGTAGGATTAGTAATTAGTAGTTTGAGGAGGATGCCGTGGTGATGAAGAGTCGAGTAGTGAGTAGTGGCAGCCGCAACAACAGCAGCTGTGGCAGTTACGGCAGCATTTGCGGCAGCAGTACAATTCTCAGCACGATTGGCGGTGCTCTTCCTTTGTGAATTCCCTTTGTGAATTTCACTGTTTAGGATTCTCTTGAACTTCGAATCGTTGATGTTATATGGTCTGTTTTGAATGAGTCCTTTGCGACACACGTGATCCTTCATCGATGGCGCCATTCGGAAGCTACGGAACCTCGATGCGCAAACCTTGCTGCGTCGTGCCCTGGCCACCTTGATCAAGGCTGCCCTCGAAAAGTTCGGGACTGATTGGCAAGCTGCCCGATGCCTGGTGCTGCTGATCACAGTCTTGGATGTGCAAGGTAGGATTGGTATTCCGTCTATAAACTCCCAAGGCTGGAATGGACTCGGTGGTTGAGGAGGTTGTGAATCTAATGCGTTTGCCTCAGGTTATGCTGCCATCTTGCGTGAGGTTAGCAGCAGCATTGACTTGATGCTTGCTGCTGCAAACTGCCGCAGCTCTGCCCATTGACTTCGATGAACGGCCATGTGCGAAGTTTGGCAGGCAGTCAGATCCACAAAATGCCATTGGCTCAGATAGCTCTCTCGGACGCTTGATTTTCTTGGGCATAGGCGAAGATGGCAGTCCCATGGAACTTAACCTGTCCTGCCAGGGTAGTCGTTGTGGCAGCGATGGTGGTGTACGTAGCCAGACTGAGAGCTCTTGCCCAGGCCTTCGTGCAAGAGCGCGGCTGCGAGTCGTTGCACCCCACTGAGATTGAGTTGATTCGAGCCACACTCCACGCTGCACTGTGACCGAGCACTGAGTGTGGCACATTCGCAGACAAGTGGCAACTGCAGGCGATACCTCTGCACCGATGACGAGAGCCGGCAAGCTGTGGCAGCAAAGGAGTGGTGTGAGTGGCAGTGGAATTTATCCTGTTCATGTCTTCGCATCACGGATTCGGCACGCCGGGGCTGAGGCTGCAGAGTGTGAAACTGCAGGCCGTTCTAGGACAACTTGTCAGGAAACAAAGACAAGAAACACAACATGTCCAAGACTGTGCATTCAGCGAATCTACTCGTGGTCACTACGGTCATGGAGGGATCTTGCCAATCCATGGGACAAGCGCCGGCATTCGCGAAACCGCGGGCACGGCTCTTGAACGGTAGCGGGAGTGTCCCGGAACTGCGCAGGATGCCATTCCAACGATTCTGAGGCACGTGGGGTTCAGCGAGCTGCGATCATGTTTGAGTCTGGAAACGAGCACAGCCGCAGGTCCATGGAGTTAAACGAGAACGAGTCCGAAGTACACGGCTCTGTGCTTTCCGAGACTTTGGCAACCTGCCATCAGCTGATATGCAAAGGTGCAGGGATACTGCTGTGGGACACTGGCTGGGTGCTGAGACGCTACCAAGTCTCTGCTTGTTTAGGGGGTCTCTCTCTGGGGGGCACAGCCTGAGCGGCCGAAGCCAGGTTCATCTGGCAGCCACGGCATCGACTCGTCGGAGCATCGTGCAAGCGAAGGGCCTGGAGGCAAAGCCCCCAAATTGCCTTTGGGACAGCTTAGACTCCTCTTTCTTCAAGCCCCAGACCGTCTTTGTCAGGCGATTCTGCGAGCCATGCAGATGCATCCCAGCCCTTTAGCAAGCACTTGTGCGCAACCCGTGTCATCTGGAATCTGAGATGTGCGGAGTTTCCGTGCTACTAAACCCGGCTTGTGCCGATTTCCCCGCTGCTCTGAAAGGTCAACCATCAAAGTTGTGCCTGTTTCGTCGTGGATACTTGTGAAGCTCAGGCAATGCCTTCGTTCAGTTCAAAGCCTGCGCGGCTTTGGCGACATGGCAGAACAATTGCTTGGGGCGCAGGCGAAGGTTTCAAGCTATAGGTAGCGTTCTCGAGGATACAGGCTCTTGCGGAGTAGCAGAGTGCCCAAAAGGCTGGTTTGCACTGCACAGGCTAGTGGAGAAAAACTGAAGAGGTTTACATGTATCATGCTTCTTAGTTGCAGACGAGGCCCCAAGGCTCACTTGTGTCGGGTGTCCATGGGGGAGTGAGGGACTGGGTGGACTAGGCTGTTCCAGCATGTTCAAGGTAGTGGGTCGAACTATCGGCCCGACGCAGTGCATAGATGGTCTTCCCAGGAGCGGCAAGCGCTCACCCGCACGTTTGAGATAGATCTGCTAGTGACTGCTAGTGATGGCGAGTGGGGTAGATGCCACCAGGCGAGTGCCGACATGTTTCGATTCAGGCAAATGTTGCAGCTACGAGCCAAGAACAGCCGCTTGGCCAAAGTGGATTGAGCCTGCCGTCCAGTTGTGTTCCTGCTTGAGTGTGTCTAGTGTCGGCAGCAGGGCCGATTCCAAGGGTAACTGCGGATCCTACCCCGTGCAAATAGTCATTCTGCCAAGCGGTTTTGTGAGGTCCTTGCTGGCTTCGCTGGGTGGAGGAGAGATGGTTCTGAAAACGATGCGCCTGCACGTGCACCTTCGCTGATCCTTAAACATGGGAGCTTGTTGCACGGGTCACGCAGAGAACATATGCACGCTCATCTCGAAGGCACGATCTCTCAGTGCTTGAATACTGTCTGGGTGCGCTGCACAACCTGGCCACGTACCAGGGAAACCAGGCCTGCAACGACAGACAGTAATTTGCTCTCCCCTCTCAGATTTCAGCTTGCAGGCTGCCCTGCGCACGGCTGGCGCCGTTCGCGTTCTGAGAGATGCCAGGATCTCAAAGACCTAAGATGCTTTGCGACTCTCGAACCTGGACCTGTCAAGCCTGAGGCAGTGCGGCTTCACCCACAAAACCATCAGGTCCAACAGGCCAGAGTCACCAGAAAGTAAGAAGGCGAGTCTTCTTAGTCTTGGGTGCTGTTCGATTCCGCAGGTCGGGAAGAAGACCATCCGGCTCTTGAAAGGACGTAATGCTGCGGATGCTTCGACATAGCTGCATTGACCTGCAGTGAAAGCGCGGTGCTGTAGCATGTTCGACTCGGCTGACGACTATCATTCCTATAGGCCTATAGGTATCATGCTTGGAATCCATTGTAGTGGTTTGTGGTGGTAATGCTTGGCCATCGAGAAGGAGGCAGCAGAAACTGTACTAGGTTCTGGTATACCGAAGCATCGGGCTGCAGCTGTAACTGTTTAAAATTCCGCAGTGCTCAGGTGTGCCTTGGATTGGTCTGCTCCTTTACGCTTTCGGCAACGGGGGGAGGGGTCGATCTTGAGCAGTGCAGATTTTTCCATGGCCAAAGCTGTGGGATACTGTCGATAGACGAGTGTCAGAAGGAATGCCCTGGAAGCATCGCAAGTGGCACATACACGCCATCAGCAACCGATGCTGCCACTGCTCCTCTTGGCACTCCGTTGTGGGCCAGAGCAATTGCCTGGCACAAGTGGTTTGAGTTTGCAGCAGTTTCTGCTCTGGCTTTGTGGGCTGGCTCGTCGTGATGGCTGGGAAATAGCCTGCTTGCCAAGTCTGTGTCCATAGCGAGCGCTTGATCGTGAGAGTTGCTTCGCTTCGCAGAAAACCTTCAAAGCGATGGTGGACGGCGCCGACCGCGACAAGGACATCCGGCAATTTTCGGTGCAGCTTTGCAAGAGCGGCCGAGCGGCCGAGCCGTTAGGCCCTGGAGATCGTCACTCGGCACCCGGGCATCCTCGCTGCGGGGCCGGACGTGAAGGACAACATGCTCCAGGCTTTCACAGGGCCCCCGAGTCCGCCCTGCCCTGCCTCGCCTCGCATGGAAGGCGGACGTGGCCTCGAACGCCATCAATGCCGCGAGGCACGACAAAGGGCCCTTTTCTTCTCTTCTCTTCTCTGCCGTTTGCACCTTGTTGCTAAACTTGGGTTGGGCATGTGTACCCGTGCGATCTTGTCAGAGCTCGTCTGTCTGCCAGGAGCTTGGGCAACTTGTTCAGATAGTGCCAGTGAGAGCCGGCTTCGTACCTTGTGATCAGAACCCTTGAGCCTCCCAAAGAGCCTCTTGCGATTCTGGAAGCTGGTCGCGAAGAGCCGGTTCCAGTGTTCCAGCTCATGCATTACACGGGACCCTCCTCCTTTGCTTTTGCTCTCCTGAAGAGCGGGAGTTTGAGTGCCGCCGGGCTAAAAGCTCAGCCGCCATTCAAGCGAATCAGAGGACGATTTTTGATCGGCTGAATGGCTCTCGAATGCTCTCGAGCAAGCTGCTGTGTTCATTCCTTTTCAGTGCTCCTTGAGTCTCATTGCTGTCGAATGGAAGGCAAACGACATTTCTCACAACTCAAGTTCTACTCGGTGCTCAAGCTGAGAAAGGGATATCCATGAGGTGTCGAAACTTATCAGCCCCAAAACCAGCTGCCAGATACATCGGAATGATAGTTGAACTGTGGCAGCGAGCTAACGTCTGGAACCAGCATCTACCGGAAACCCTCTAGTACATCCTAGAACCCCTGCATCACCCAGATCAATCATTTGGGCTCCGGTGCTGCAGTTGTCAACCTCTCCAGCAGTCCACGGACCCTCTTGCGTAGCACCCCAAGTGCATGGAGAAGCTGTGGTGAAATCCCCGAAAACCAGGGAGCTAGAACGTCTTTGTCCTCGGGCCCGCATTAAGTGAGCCCATGTGTGCTGGCGACTGGAGCCATGACGTCCGGTACCCAGACATTGCCAATGTGAGTCTGCAATGATCTGCGTCGCAAACAGGCATTGCAAGAACCTTGTAAGGGCATGCCGTAATTTCGGCATACTGTAGCATCCAGCTTCCAGCCCTCAATGACGCTACACCATCCTTGCGAAAACCCAGCCGTGGTACATTGCTACGTTTCGTGTTGCAGCCTGGTGCGTTGCCACAGTAGTAGACACTGCGAAGTTGCCATAGGAAAAGCCGTAGAACACAGCAGTTCTGGCGCCAGTAGCTTCCAGGCCACGCCCCGGAAAGGTGGAGGCACTGATAGATCTGCATTGCTTGAGGGCACCTTTGGTTCGACGTCTGTAAGTGGCGGCAGGTGCCCATCGCCGGGGAGGTGATCAGCAGACGGCCGAAAGGAGCCGCATCCCGCGCCCACTACAAGGCGCCGGTGTAAAAAATCAAGGGCTCGGATTCTGGATGATTCTGGCATTCTTCTCTCAAATGCTCGACCACAGGGTCTTCTCTCTCAGGATAGGACGACAGCTCTAGCACTGTGAAGGGGCTGGGGCACACACGATGTCTATCCTTTTGTGATCGAGTAGCTGATCCAGATGAGGATGCTCGCAGCTTCGTCGCATCTTCCAAGCTTCCTATTCACTGAAGACAGACTTTCGACGTTTCTGTGAAGGCAACTCACAAAGATGAGGGAGAGGTGGGGCGAGACATCCATCTTGACCGCTTCACGCTTTGGATGTTTATGCTGTATAGGTGGGTTGGTGGTTCTTCACGTGGCACGGGCTGTATGAGACACGACCAGCCATGCACAGGATGTCAGCCGGGATCTGCAGAAGATCGTGCGGCTGGATGGCCGAAGCCTGAGTTCTGGCAGCACATGCAGCACGGCAGAGGTCTTCAGACTTGCGACGCCGCACTAGGAAGCAGAGCCGGCGGAGTCTTGCACTTAAGAGCCCCCGAAGCCATATCGGCATGGCCATGCCGGTTGACCGTCCGATTATCGTTTCTCAACGGAAAGTGTCAAGAAGTGCAATCACCACCACGGTAGATGCACCCGAACGGCATTGTCCGAGCAACATGTGCGATATTACATAGATCCATCATCCCCGTCACCGCGCTGAGCCAGGAACGGACTGCTCGCAATCATGGTCGCAATCGAAAGTGAAAGCACAGTCTCAGCCAAGGCCCTGCAAAGATCAATTGGCTTTGCAAGGCGCGGAAAATTCCGCCGGTTGTGAGGTCACGTGCTTGGACCCCTGATTCAGGCACTTCCGCTGCTTAGACGACGGTCAATGACAGCGGCTCAATTCCTCGACATTGTCTGCAATCAGAGGCACCCTCGCGCGCCTTTCGCAGTACCTCGGCACTTTGCAACAGGTTTGCAAGGAGTTCCGTTTTGTAGGTTCGCTGCGAACATAGACGACGTCATGCCGTGGGGCACGCAGATGGTCGGGCTCCGAGGTTTTTTGGGAAGGCAAACTGCAAACTCTGAACAAGATCACGGCATGGCCGGCATGGCAGTCAAATCCTGGCGGCCTGGACCTCTCGTATCGTCTCGTCCTACCCCTTGTCGCCCCCAGCCCCCATGCGGGTTGGAAGCTCCTGCTGTTGCCCGGGGCCTACGGGCCCAGAAACGGTGAGCTTTTGATCTTGAAGTTTGTGCAGATTCATGCAAGAACAGCCCGGAGACTTCTTGCCGAGAGAGTCTAAAGCTGGGAAGAACCATCACATTCTCGACGATACAGCAAGCAAGAATCGAAGATCCGATATCGCGGGTTGAAGTGGGCTTGTATGCAGAGGACTCCCGGCCATGAAACCTGAGCCCTTGCCTGCACCAAGATCAGCATGCTGCGACGCGAACTGGACGACCTCCAGCCACAACAGGCTCGAACCTGAAAGCTCGACTCTGGTCGAATGTGGGAAGCTTTCTAGACAGGCTATCTGTGGTAAGGCTTGCTCCTGGAAGCTGTCTCTTCATGTTCAGCTTCTGAAACATAGTGTTTTTTCGTCCCTTAAGAAAACCGGCGCGCGGTTGGTCAGCATGGCATTGCGCAGCGGGAGACGGTGCCCAGCTTCACGAGTGCCAGGTGCATCATCTTCAGCAGAGTGATCTGTGGCGGCGGTTCGCCGATTCTGATGACGAGGTGTTGCAGTGCTTTGATCTGTGCTTGTAGCTATGTCGGGTTGCCGCCCTTGTGGGGATTCTTAGGGTAGTGCGAGTAGTCGCTGCCGCACCGCATCTCGTGCTATTAGGCTGTCCTTGCCACGGTGACAGTTGCTTGCTATGCTCCATGCCACTATGCAAAGCTGCTCAGGACTCAGGACTCTGCTTGCTTTGTAGCTGTGAACTTGGAGACCTCGGGTCGGCACCGCGGAGCACCTGCTGTCTGCGACGATCTTGGCCCCTGTCGGTGGCATGAATGTCAAGCGGAAGACTCTGTCTTGTGGTGTTCCGACCGAGTCTCCGCAGTGTCCGATGGGTTTCTCATACTCGGGTTCCGAGACCGGACAGGCGAAGACATGCTTGCCCTGACAAATGTCAAACGGCCGTGGCTGTGGTGATTCCCATGGCAGAAACGTGTTTCGGCCAGAAAGTAAGCGAGCCGGAGATGCCAAGCCACCATCTAGTGGGTTTGCTGGCTGCATGTAGACGTTACCGAATCTTCTCCCCAACTTCCGCCATTGACTATCGACTCGAAGTGCTGCAAAACTCGTCGAACTTCCCTGCTCTGCCCTCTGCCAGCGCGCCGTGGTGGCTGCCACAACATCTTCAGCGCACTTCAGCTGCGCTTCAGTGAGTGCTTGGTGGCGGCATTGCCTTTGGTTGAATCCGGCTTGCTCAGCATAGGATCTTGCACATTCACCGAGAGTAAGGCCTGGACGCGCAGCGGCCTTCCGCGCTGCTGTGGCAGCTGACAAGGACAAGGCCATTGAGGGAACAGCTAGACGACTGCTGGCAGTTACGAGTAGCGCTTCATGCAGCGTTCAAGAGCGAAGTTGCTGGAGCTGACATGCATGTTGGTGGTGCCTCTGCAGCACTCTTATCTTGCATGCCCTCAATTGGGCGCGAGCATGCAGACACACGACGTTGTTCAGGAGTCGTTCGAACAGCGGACTGAAGAGGTAAACACGAAATGTATACTGTGATTATGATTATTACATGTTGTTATACCGTTATTTCTGAGAGGCAGTAATTATCGAGTGGTCAGACTTCCAACTAGGCTTGCAACCTTCCCCAGCAACCTGCGCGTGACTATGGGATGTGGTGCAAGCGCTCCCGTAGCCAGCGTTGGACGTCCCCTGTACTTCAGCGGGCCGCGCTATGATGAGAAGCGTCCACAGGCGGGTCGGCAAATTCAATGCATGTTTCGGAAGACTCGCATTCGGCGACGACCCTGGGCGAGGCTCGGCGGAACCCGGAGTCCTACAGAACCCGTATCGTCACCATGCTCACAACGGACGAGGGCGACTTCGAAGTGCAGGTGTCCTCGAAGTCCGAGCCAGAGCCAGAGTCCCTGGAGAAAAAGAAGGTTACGTTCGCATTTGTGTCAGAAGCAGACGACGAGGTGGAGTTTATGCAGGATCCTGGCACTGAATTCAGTTGCATTGTTAACATGGCATGGCAGTCGAGATAGTAATTGCTTCTGGACACGTTTCAGACAAGGAGCTGCCGAAGAAGAGAGTGACCTTCTCTGTGGTGGTGGACACTCACTTCTTCAGGGACTGTCAGCGTGATGACACGTTCATGTTTCGCCGAGTCCTCTCCTAGCCGTCTTAGCCGTCACGTGCTTGTCGTCGACCACGAACCACCCGCCCGCGTTGGAGTGTATATGAGCATAGTCTTGCCAGAACACCAGCAAATATGTGGCCATCTAATTCGTGGCTTACAGCATCATCGCTTCTGATAGAACCCCTTTCGAAGAAGTGAATGTGAGAAGGTGTCACGGGAGGCGAGGACGAATGAAGCTGAAGAAGTGAACTCGTCTTTAGCAAACTGTAGGCCCTTTGGATGCTTTTGTCCGTCTTTTTGCAGAGGACGAGGACGCTCCGCCGGCCAGGCCTGTGCAGGTTTCGGTCGCCTGGGGCGTGCCTCGCCTTCTCTGTGGAACTTTCCTGTGACTGTGAGCGCGTTGCAAGTACCAGCTAGCACGGTCAGGTGGAGCTTTGTGTGCTTAGTTGCGACATCCAGGTGTCAAATTGAGCTAATTGTGGACAGCGATCCGGGCTGCTGTTATTCCTGTGAGCAGATGTTTTCTTAAGGATTCCGGGTGCATGGCTCCTATGCCGCCGCGAAAGGCTTTATGGCTGCAAGATGCTACAAATCTCCCTCTCTCTCTCTCTCTCTCTTTCGCTCTTTGTCGCGTGGTCTCTCTCGCTCGCCCTTGTCGGCATTTCTTAAGTCAAGCACGACTGCTAGCAGTCGTGCTGCGGGTGCAGTCGTCAGCTCGGCCAGCTAGGCCGCATTAGTTGCAAGCCACCGAGTGCAGAACGGGGCACTGCAGCCACCCAAGCAGAGTTTGCAGCAGGTCGGCCTCAAGTGCGTGGCTGCATTTCACCGGTAGGTCTGTGGTGTACTCCTGTAGTCGGAAGAGCCACCTTCTCCTTCAGCTGCAACTCTTTTGAACATCGCCCAGGTTCTGCCACGAGTCCCGAATCAGCCAGAGACGGAAGAGATGCAGGATATGCATCCTTTCTCCCACGGCTTACGCGAGCTTCCTGTGCTGTGCACAGAATGCACGGAGGCCTGACGAACAGCCAAATCAGGCTTTGAACACGCTGAGAATGGTGGGAAATGAGAGAGCTGTGCATTGCAGCTTCTTCACCTTCCATCCTCGCCACGTAGCTAGATTCTTTCTGTCAAGTTCTTTGTGGATGGTCAGCTCCTTCTGGTGTGGCTGGAAGCGCTCGGGGAACGCCGAATAGCGCCGTGCCTCGTTTCACACCACACGCAGGCCAACCCAGATCCTGAAGGCCCCTGGAAAGGCCACTTGAAGACAATCCGTGCGCCCATGAGTCCCATGTCACGTGTGTTACTGTTCACGTTGTACTGCGATGTGTTGCTGATTATGTCAAGCCGGCGTTGCTACGCATTAGCGCTCGTTGTCCGAGCTTGACATTTCATCCGCAAAGGGCCTTCTTCTGTACTGTAAAGTATTCCGCATGCTCGTCACAGGTGGATTCCCATGTCTTGCCACCTGGTACCACGCGGCAGATTGTTGCCTTTATCTTCTAATTTCCTCGCTTCTGATCCACGGTCCCTAAGCAAGCACGACGGTGCTTACAGGGCCAATGTGTTCTAGTAAAGTTGCTATAGCTATACTACTATGCTGCTAGTTGTTATGTTTGGAGATTCTAATTCAGAACAGGTGTGTCGGACCGTCAGGAGCTCCGCTCATCCGTGCTATCTCTTGAAAGCCTGGCTCCAGCCAGCTCGCCTGTCGTTTGGTACAGGGTCTAGGTACCAATCGTTGTCCTGCTGCGTCCAGGTGTTGCGAGTTGGCAGAGCGGCTTTTGTGCAGGTGGTGCAGGGTGTTGAGCCGGCACTGCTTTTTTGGCACAGTCTCTGTCCGGTAATGTTAAACTGTTTAACACCCTTTTCCAGCAGTTCTACAGTGGTCCGACAACATGAAGTATCCGATGTATCCCATCTGGAAGAGGAATCTGCACAATTCTCCGAGTTCTCCGAAGGCGCCACCGCTCCTGCACGTATCGCGGTATGCTCGGTGACCGACGGGATCTTCAGACCTTGCAAAAGCAAGCCAAGCATGTACCTTTCAGTTTTGTTATATGGCCTTCGATGCCTGTGCAAGCCCGGCTCCGGATGTCAAGAGAAGCTACAGCTCCTTTGTGGCTCAAGCGAGTCACGGGCATCGGTGCGATTTGACACGTGGCTCAGATCGCGGCGCTTTTCTCTCGGCTGGCTTCCAAGCAACCGGAAGTGCGGTTGATGCCCGAGGCAGGCCGATCCTAGGTCATCGACACGCTGAGACTACAAGTAGCATTCTGGAAAGAAGATGCGCTTTTTGGCAATCACAGATCGGACCCTCTGGAAGTGGAAGTCTTGCCCTGGAAGGCAGAGACTCCTAGGTTGCTGCAACACCCACTTAATTGTGGAAGATGTCGCCTGGGATCTCGTGGAATTCATAAGGATGCCGCTTGCAGAGAGTGGAACTGGTGGAACTAGTGCATGCGTCTCTGCGGCAGAAGAAACTTTACATAACCAAATCATACGACAGGGTGGAGGAGGAGCAGGGAGCTCTTTCAGTAATTCGGTTTGTCAGGTGCCGGTACATGGGGATTGGTTTATGTGCAACACGGCCTCTCGGACGGTTTCCAAACCATACCATGCAGCTTGTCTCACTAAAGCAGGAGAGATCAATCCCAGTAAAGAGCTGCACTTCGCTTGCACGTAAAGTCCCCAGGCCGTCTAGGTGATAATCATAGCGTGGCGATGAAATTACCCACATAAACAACAATACATGCAGGCGAAACATTGTATCGGTGATGGTAGATTAGTAGACCATAATGATAGCAAGAAGATGGCGAAGATGTCGGTGGATCCCACGACGGCAATGATGGTGATCATGATGAAGAAGATGTTAGTGATGGCGATGGTGGCAATGATGATGAGAATGCTGCTGCTGCTGCTGCTGCTGCTGCTGCTGAATGGTGGTGTTGTCGTTGGTTGTGGTCGTCGTTGGCGTCGCCATTGTGGTATTGGTTGTTGCTGTTGTGGTGGTGGTGGGTCGTGGTGGTGGTGGTGATCGTGGCACACAGTAGCAGGTGCCGCCTCAATGGGGCATACACATCTTCTGGGTCCAAGGCATGGCCGTGTCATAGTAGGAACAGGATACCGGCTTCAAAGAACTGGAGCTTACCATGCTCCTCGGCTCCTCAATCGCCTTCCCCACAACGGAAGCATGTGCGGCCTCAGGCAAGCTCGCCTGTTTGCCTGCACCACGAAGTAGGGGCTTGATACAGAGCTGCACAGCGCCGGGGCTTTGCCAAAAGACACATGCCAAAATCTGCTGGTCAGGGCCTAATTCGGTCTAGTGAGAACTACCTCACCGTGCTCTGCTTGTGCGCTGCGGTCCGGCTCGAAGCCAGTGGAAAAAACTTCTGCCCTGGCAGCGGCGAGGACCTGAGTATCGCCATCTCGCACTGGGCAAGGAAGGGCACCTCCTGTGATGAGGTTCAGTGCGAATGGATACTCATCGTGAGATTCAGGCCAGGCCCGAGCAAAATCAACGTATGGATATGTGAGAGGCCTGCAAATGCATATCTCTGGCGGAAGCAAGCTGTCGATAGGGTGCACGTTGCATTCAATGCGGTTACTTCTGCTATCGCACGTTTTACGGGCTATAGGGCTCATTTTTGCTGATTGAGCTTGTCGTGCCATTTCGTGCCAGCGCTGCCACATCATCCTTTATGGTCATAGCAGTCTGGTCTCAGCCGAAATTCCACCGTCTTCCAAGTTGACCAAGGCTTTGATCAATCGCGTAATACGAGAGTTAGCATCATGTCATATCATGTTCACGTGCTCGACATGCCGCACTCTTTGGTGTGAGGCTGGTGTGATCGACACAGCATCATGCGAGTCAGTCCGTGCCCAAGAATCCGTTGAATGAGAACGCCGTGAGACGGTGCAGTTTGAGGTCTTGGGAGCTCCTTTGAAATTCCTTCTCGCTGTGGACGGCAGCCCGGAGTCCATGGCTTCCTTCGACTATGCAGCCCGGATGCTACTTTAAGGGCGCTGCTTCAGCCCAGCGTGAGATCACATCTTGCAGGCTTACAGAGCAGGTAGCCGTGTGTTCAACCTGTAATCAAGGTTGTCCGCGATCTCCTTATGCGCGAGCGCGGCGCTTTCTTGGATGTGGGCATCTTACGAATCAGGGATGGGGCTCCGGGCTGTCGCATAGAGGGCAGGCAGGGAGCGGCGGAGCGGCGGAGCGGCCGAGCTGCGAGGTCCTACATGTCTATGACGACAGCAAGGATTTCAAAGAGCACGGTCCGCTCGTCTCGCCGCTGTGGTAGGATGTAATTGGTCGGAGTAGTGGACGACGCTGTGCTTTCCCCAAAGAAGCTGAGTTCGATGGAAATGTAACACCAGCTTGCATGTAAAGTTTGAGTAAACGGCTTCTCAAGGAGTATCTGCCACCAGAGTACCGAAGAGAACATCTTCGCGCTGTTGCGACTCGAAAGCAATCTTTTGGCCCATGCTTTCTGCGTGTGTTGTGTACCTAGAAGTATCCTTCTTCTTTGCATGACCTCTGGAAGCACTGGAGTTTTCAGGAAACGACGCCTAGCTCTATTGTGAATTGAGGTCTATGCCAAGCTGCTAGGGTGGGTAAGCCTCGACCGCTTCGTGCTCAACTGGAAAGAGAAGACGTCGCAGGTGGGCGTGCAGCTAGCGCACATCACAAACTCTTCTTGAAGCTCAACCACCAGTCTTGCCTTGTGTCCGGCTGATGCAGCCTGCAACGGCATCTGCATACTTCTAATTGAAGGTTGGCCAGATGATCTGCGACCATTTCGTGGAGAATCCGGCTACTTTTCTTTGCATGGGCTTCCGTGGCCGCAAGGCCCGAGTTATGTTGTTCCGGGCCATACGTACTAGCACAAGCAGCAGTTGAGATCTCAGACACACTCTTTTTTGCCTCTCACTCTCTCTCTCTCTCTCTCGAGGGCGAAACGCGACTCCAAAGCTAGGTCAAATGTCGCGATCCCCGCTGCAACAGCACAAGGTGTGAAAAGAACAAGAGGAATAGTCAGGAGACGGCCACCTGTTAACGGTGTGCTCTGGCGTGGAAAAGGAGGATCAGTCTCGGTCTCGAAAGAACATTGAATGTAGGGGGTTCAGGGGCCGGAGCTGTCGGTCCCAGTGGGAGTCGTGTTGAGGGCTGCCCTAAAGCTCTCACTTGGAGAACCAGATCTAGGCGAAGTGGAGAACAGCGGCTTGCCCGCATGCAACCTGTTCCTCTCATCATACTTGGCATTAGCAGTGGCTGCAATCTGATCACATGGCAATTCTGCCAAGTGGAGAACTGGTATGAGGAGCGCGCCTTTCTGACTCGACAGCAATCAGTAGACGAATCTTATCAGAGATCATGTCGTGGTAGTGGCCGAGAACAAACATCTGGGACTAAGCGCTGCAGTGCTTGTCGAAGCCTGTCAGGCCAATCTCAGGGGTTGCCGCAAATCATGTATCAATCCAGTTTCCAAAGCATTCCGGCATGAGTTGGGAAGAAGGTAGGGCTATCTGATTGAAACGGTCAGAGATATGCCCTGCAATCGAAGGCAGCTCCAGCGTGTCAGGTTGTAGTTGGAGAAACCAGACCTTTGCGTCTTGCTGCATGTGCGAAGTAGTGCGGATCTGGTTCAGATCAACAACCCGAATGTGCCTTCAGGGGAAGAAGGACGTCCGGATGATGACCTCGAATATCTATGAGGCCAGGCGAGTTAGACTTAGTCTCGAGAACCAGCGGACAGGCGAGGCAGAGTGACGAAGCGGGCATGTGCGGTCAGTTGAGGTTCTCCGGCTTGGCCGCAAGCTGACCTTGCTCGGCATGCGCCGGCCTCTGTCTTGTTTCAAGCATCACCTGCGGTGTGGCAAGAAGAGTCCTGCCACTACATCTGCAAGGTGCAGTTTGGTTGTCTTCAAGGACAGCTGCAAATCACCAAGCATGCCTTAGCTTTTGTTCTGGTGGTTCCGTTACCGCGCGTCCCCAAGTTGCAAGTCAAGACATGA